CTGCTGCTGCGGCCACCGCCACCGCCACAACTCGTGCAAAGCCGCCGCCACCCACCCCCGCCCCCACCCCCACTTCCCAACCACCACCAACAACAACACCACCGTGGCCCCTGTAAGCAATCCTAACCTCACAAGCAACAGGACCAGCTATCGCCTCACGTTACTAAGCTCAACGCATGTCCTGACGTTTGTCAGCTCAACGCATGATCTGATCGTCTCAGTGGATTGCAACACTTTGGAATTCGGTTTTAGCCCTAGCAGAGTTTGCAGGTGGCCGAGGGCAAGAAGAGCCTGAAAGACATCACCATGGACATGGCAGCAGCGGCCTCAGCGCGGTTCAACCTGTTTTGAGAGGGTTTTCTCTTTGTTTCCTTCTCGCCACCGAGGACATGATTGAGGCGAGAAGCAGGGATGGCAAGGAGCCAGGGGAGTGTCTCGCAGGTATAGATTCTGACTGTTTGTCCTGGGGTCATGTTCCACTTTCCAGGACTACGGCGTCATTATTCTGCCAGAGGGTCTGATTGAGTTTGCACCCCAGTGTCTGGATTTGCCCAGAAGTCCTGCTGTGGAAGCGTCGTGCGAAAGGTTCATCCCGGAGTTCAACGCCCTGATCTCGGAGATCAACGACAAGCTGGCCCAGCCAGGGGTTGAAGCCACGGAAGAGGCGCGTGGTGCTCCAGTTGAGTGTCGATCCCGAACCCCTTGTATGCCCCTACTTTTCAGGGTGTGCTGGCCGTCCTGTCCAAGGAGAATGCAGAGTGCTTTAGGCCGGTTTGCCAAAACACAAGGCTTGTTATTCGTGTCGAGAAATTCTGCATCTCTTGCACAAACTTTGACACATGGTGATGTGAACGGGAATGACAGCGAAGAGACTCACGATATCACTGAAGCAGGTACCTGCCCAGCTTCATTCGTGCACAGCTGCTCTTGGACCGCGACCCCCATGGCAACGTCCAGGCGCTGAACAAGTGTTCTGTAGGTAGGAATTCAAATCGCAGTGCAGTGATTGCCAAGTTCCTCAGCATGCGATTGGCAACCCGTCGATTCGACAGCAGGTCGCCAAGATTGAAACCGAGAAGCTCTTAGCTGCTACGGTGCATGCGGAGCTGGACAACCGACGTGCCAAGGGGTGCACCGGACGAAGCGACATGATAACACTAATAAGTGCATTCCTCTGTAAAGATTTGGCCTTTACACAACGCCCACATTGAAAAGATGGCTTTTCAGAGTGTTACAACTGGCAAAGCTCCTACGCAAGGTACAAGGGAAACTTCTCTCCGCAGTTTCATGCTTTTGGATACGAGGGCCGTGCAGGGCTGCGCGGATCCCGGTGGTGAGTTGATGTGAGGTGCTAGGAAGGGCGGGACGCAGATTGGACATGCGACTGCTCTGAGGCCAACTGTCTTCGATGCTTCGTACTGCTATGCTCGCCTGGCCTGCTTACACATTCAAGATGTGCACAGTCTGGCAGCAGATGCTGTAGTCTTCTTGAACACGGTCGAGAGCTGGTGTCCTGCATTGTCACGACTCACTGTAATTGTGCTCGTCTTCCACATACTCCGGAAATCTCCAGAAGTTGACGGCCGGCTGCGTAAGGCGCTGGGCTACACCGCCTCGTCTCTGCTGGACCTGGCCTTAAAGATCCCAGCACGCCAATGGCAGCAACGCCTGAACTTACCCGATGGCATCTGTGCTCGTTGAGAGGTCACTGGCTGGACAGGACTCATCGCGAGCGTGAAAAATTTGCTGGCGCCCTGCAAGGTCACCTGCCAGGTAAAAACTGTTGACTGATAGTTGCAGCCCGAAACCCAAATGCCCACCCCCCCCCCCACCCATGCGACCCTCTCGCAAGCTCAGGAATGGCAGTGTGGCGGGGTACCTGTCACCTCCCTGTGTGTGATTGAGCGCCGCAAGGGCAAGGCAGGGCTGTAAACGCAGCGTGTTTTCAGTGTAGACTTCATGTCTCAGGCCAGGAGTTCAAGCACCGAATCCTTTCAGGAACCAAACATGGGACTCAGCTTAGATTCCGCTCGTCCCAGGACAAGCCGGTCATCCACAAGGCACTTGTGGAGCTTCAAGGTGCTCTGCTGCATCCCCAGCCTTGTGCCGGTCACTATGCAGACACGAAGCTGCGTAGTAGAGTCTTAGTAGAGAGTAGAGTGAGCAAGCACGTGCTGCGTGCAGCTCAGGTCGCAGCCCTTTGAATTCTACAAATCCATCCGCGAACAACTGCGCATTTCGGACATGTGCACTGGACTGCATCACTGTTTGGAACAAGTCACAGTACCACAGACTCCTGTCAGACGGGTTGCCATGAAGCTGCAGCTCGCCCCGTGCAGCAGGTATCGCAACCCAGGCCCAATTCAGTTCGATATGGTGGGGTGCGAGGCATCCAAGGACATCTTCAGACAACATGAACAAACTTTTTCGATCCGGGTGACGAACTGCAACTGGCTGCAGGACATTCCAATGACTCTGCAGCTCGAGCTTGGCAGGAGAAGCAGTCACACACACACAACTGCACTGCGGCGGCAACCTGGGTGGTCAGACGAGTGTCCGGCTAATATTGCTATGGGGACGAGATTCGGGTATGCTAAGCTTTTGCACACAAGGGTCAGTGCAGCGAGCTTTCCTGAAAGGACACTGCCGGTCGAGTTCCCGACTGAGAAGCCCAAAAGGCCCGGGAACGTACATCTGTGCTGTAAGGATAGAGCGATTTCTGCAGGCTGTAAGGCCCGGCAAGGTTGGCAGAATAGGACATTGACATGCAGTACGTCTGCTTCGGGCGGTGTGCACATCAGCAACAAAAGTCAATGCGGCATGAATCTCGCAGACAGGATGGGGAACTTCCTGTTCCTCCCACATGCGCCGCTTGGACAGAAGTATCAGTAGGTGGAGCTACGCACAGAATCGGTCGCGGCAGCAGAGAGTCAAAAGCGGGAGCCCAGCCATGTTCTGTCGCATTACATGATCCGTAGACTCAACGACCGAGGAAGAAGCTGCGGTCGGAGTTGCAACAGTGGCGATCAGTCGCTCACAGCAGTTGTGCAGGGTCGTGTGCTGCCACCATGAAATGTTCCGTGCAGCTTCATGCATTGAGTGGGTCACTGAGTGTAGCCCATCTTTTTGGCGAAGAGTCGACCCCGCCCTGTAGGTATCATGTTTCAATTCACAAAGCCAAAGCTTTCACACCGCAATCTGAATTCAGAAAAAATATTCAGTTTCCGTCGTAGCAGCATAAAAGCAAGCGAGTGCAGATTTGTGATCCACGCAGTACTGAGTACTGTACCTATTATGAGGGAAGTTCCCCTTTCATTCAGTTGAGCCTAAGCCCACTCCCACGAACCCGGCGATCTTGTACCTGTCTGCTACTGCTATTTATGGGAGGAGGAAGGCTGGAATGGCAGGACGGGCATTTTAAGTCGACATATGATGGAATCCTACTTGTGAGAGATGTCAACTGTCCATACTCTGTAGTACACGCTACCGGCAGCAGCCATGGGTGGAAGTCCGTGTTGATAGTGCTGCACACATGCCTCATGCCATGTTTTGTGCGATGCTCATGCAAGCGGGATGGGTCCACCGATTCAAGGCAAGGCAACACCGTCTTCCGGAGTCGCTGAGTGCTTTCAACGGCAATGCTGTAACAGCCTGAACCTGAGTCGACCGATCTGCTTTTAGCAGAGGCTTCTTTTGAGACACACCACCCGGAAAGGGTGTATATAGGAGGACCATCAAGTGCATCCTGCCAAGCCCTTCCAGCATGGCACTTAGATCTTAGCTCGTGACCTAGACACCGTCACTCCTCTGGTGATTTGGTCCTGGCTGCGATTTTCGTTTCTTCATGCAGCCGTAGCTAAGGTTCATCGGGGAGAGGCAACAGTTGTCAACGACCACACAGAGGCTTCCGGGTGGCGGTGAATCTCCACACACTCTGCGTTTCCACACTCATAGACTCCAATTTGGCTCTGTTCCGAGCGGTTGTCGCAGGTGGTTTCGCGGTACTTCTCGGAAGTTCATGCTCCTCTGCTGGACATTCTGCCCACTGAGGCCTGAAACTCTGATACTTGAGAGCTGCTCCAGCACATGCATCCGGAGGAGAGGACAGCCCCGATCGAGAACAAACGGATCGGCGTCGTGTTCTGTGGCCGGCAGGCCGGCAGCTTGGGGATTTGACTTGCACTTTGGTGTCGCAGCAGCTCGAACCGCTCAGGCACCTGGCTGTCACGACTTCGTCTGTGGCCTCGTGGATATGCTGTGGAGGGCTCAGCCGGTTCAGCTCGCATGCCCCCCTCCGCTTCGGTCTTTGAATCTTAGTCAGGCCCCCGAATTTCGGGAACAAAGTCCTCGGCTTCGTGGGCGGGACGCATGGCTTCTACGAGAAGCAGGCTAGGGACTGCCCGTGACTGCCCCGGTCAAAGTCGACCCTTCTAGCACACGCGCAGCAGAGTTGAGCACAGAGTTTAACAAACTGCCGATGAGTTGTACAATCTTTGGCACAACGGTCCAACTCGCCTCTCTCGTATCCGGAGGTCGTTCATGCCGACGCCGCCAACCCTCCCTAGCAGTAGCAAACTGAAATCATGTGTGACTTCATCGTGTTTGAGGTGTTTGTGTGGAAGCGTTTGCTGTACGTTCTTTTTTCCGAACTGTACCAATCGCACTGCTTGCCGCCAAAGACAACGGTGTCGTTTAGTTCAACGCCGGTCAGCTGACTGTTGCGCCAGACGGTGGAGATCACCCCCGAGCTGTGCGACGCTTTCCGCGGAACAGGCTGGGCTAGCGAAACATCCCAGAGACGTGGGATGGCTCTTGGTGTCACTATCGGTGTGTTTACAGATCCTGTCGTGTCCTTGCTGCTGGGTTGCTCACAGGTGGCCTGGAAATGCGGCCGGCTAAGCTCGGTGCTGCAAGCTAGCACATGCTAACGGATGTGTGGCCACAAGACACGGCTTGGGCACTCACAGGTGCCATGGCAATCCATGGCACATAGGGCCATAGGGAAGGATGCAGCATTGCTGGACTCAGCAGTCGGAAAGCCAGATGAGTATCGCGGTACAGTTTTGAGATCACTTGAGGCTTGGGCGCACCGTCGATCGCATCAACACCAAGGCCGGGCATCGTCGGAGACATTCGGAAAGCTTGACCTCCCGCCAGTGAACGGGTTGTGTTCCCTGGAAAACTGCAAGGAAGAGTCCGAGAATGCCATGAAAGCGTGCCAGGAGACTTGCGATGTTGAGCATGTCGTGTTTGCGAGTGCTGAGTGTTCGTGTGCATGTGTGCACGGGCATGGGTTTTTGCATGCATGCATGCAGGCAGGCGGGAAGGAAGTCGGGTAGATAGGTACGCGTTGCATCTTTGTATGTACACAGACATGTGACATGAAGCAACGAATGCTCGAAGTTGTGTAAGGCATGTGAGGTATGTAGGTACGTATGTCTGTCTGTTAGGAACTCCATCCTATTTTGCAGCAAAGTGGAAACAGCAGGGCAGGCATCGAGTCACAGGATCGGCGCTCTGAGTTGTTCCAAGCACTCCAATGGCTGCAAGGAGCTGAACCTGGACGGCTTGGTCTTAGTCGGCGGTGCCCGTTTGGGGCTAAGCCTTTAAATGGACTGGGAAGTTTTCTTTGATGTTGCTTGCACATGAAGGGTACCGAGGTTTGCTGATACTAAGCTTCGCAGAGGAACGGGCTGGTCATTCAATTTGTCAGCACGACAGGCACGAACACGGATGCTGCTTACCTGTCCGAGTTCTTCAAGACCAACAAGGCCGAAAATCAATTTCGTCAGGCCTTACTTCAACAACGTGATTCCGTTTGAGACTGTTTCGGTCAATCGGCAAGGCTTCGAATCGTTCGGAGTGGATGCATGCAAGAAGGGGCACGGACACTCGAGCGCCCACCCGTCCGCCCACGCACGCTCGCTCGCTCGCTCCCACGCACGCACGCACGATCGCACCGCACAGCTTGGAAGGCAATAATGGGATGTACCGACGGTATAGTCTACCTTTCTCCAGCCAGGTGCACGCGTGCGATCTGAGCGTACCCTGCTCTGTGGCTAGGTGTTTGGGAACTGTGTGCGTGCAATGCGGCAACTGTGCTCAACGGCATTAGCGTGTCGTGTGTGCGAAGACATGTGTTGCTTGATGCAATCAATGTAATCATCACATTTGCTTGCTGGTTTCGTCGTGTGTAGACTGTAGACTAGAGTCGTCTTGGTGCGACTTCTGCTGAGTTTCGAGTTTCCCACTCTCCACAACCCTCGAAAATGAGGTCGCCTGGGGGGAACATGTGCGACTAGACCTGTCGGGTGTGTCAGGTTCGAGTGGGACACGTGCCCCCCTAGGTGTGCTGCTGTAGTTGCCCAAGTCTAGACTGTGTGTTCTGGACTACCGACCACCATTTAGCAAAAACATGTAAAAGAGTATCTCGGTAGTATTCAAGTGCAGAAAAGATGTCCGATGCGCAGATTTTGAAAGCAGAGTGCTATGCGTGATAATCCTCATGTTAGTGCCAGGTGAAGACAGCCGTGGTCGGAGTTCCTTGTGGCATCGAAGGCAGCATGGTGAACGAATTCGTTGAGGCGCCCGGCTCCCGGCAGAAGTGTAGCCGTGCTGAAACGATGTCCAGCGCGACCATCGTCCTGTGACAATAGCGCAGCAGAACGAGACATTTCCATATGTACAGCGCTGGGCCGGAGATATCTTGAGCAGCGACACCGACATGACTCAATGACTCAGTTCTGTGGGTGGCAACCGAAAGCATAGAGTGTCCAAGGTCGTTGGGCTTCGACTCTTGCGCCAAAGCCATGGCACAGCTGGCTGCTGTAGCTGCAGCAAGACCATGCGGCACACAGAAATTACAGTGCAGCATGAGCATCCAGATTTTGTAGTGGCAGCCGATCAGGTCGGCAACACGGCCATCGATGGTTTTGAGCTGAGCTGATCAGGTCAGATTGAACATAGCCGAGTTGGTGGTACTTTGTTTGGCTCTGTCAATGGCCTGAGGCTCCAGTGCGCGAAAGTATTATTACTTCCTCAAGCTCATGGACGGCTCCACGACGGGAGGTGAGAAGAGTTCTGCCACGGCGTACTGAAGCTTCTCTTTTTTCATTTGGCTCAGGCAAGGTACCCTCATCCCATGTGGCGCTGGAAGTCGCACTGGAAACAAAGCCGAACCTGCTCTTGCTGACAGAGGAGGCAGATGGTTCGCCAACATTTCTCTCCCCTGCAATTGTCTGCGAACGATCAATGAGCTGTTCCGGCGCGGTCGTGCCGGGGTATGCCGGAGCAGGTTGACGACCACCGGACATCCCTCAGAGAACTGGTTAGCGACATAGCCGATGTCGGAAACCTGGACGTGCAGCACAGACCAAGCTCCAACAGCTAGGAGTCATCTACAGTCAGTCCCAAGTAAGGTGGTATCTGAGCGCGCAAGCGCTGGCAAGAACTTTGGCAGGGACCCCAATGAAGCTTCGGAAGTGTCCTGTGCTGCCGCAAGGCTTCCCCAGCTTGTTGCTAGAGCCTCCATTCAGGAACCGTCCTCGTCGCAGAGGGCTTGCTGGCCTGCACCTCACTACAGTCGGCTTCGATGTTGCTTGCGGGTAGTCGGTTGTCGTCCATGCTTTCAAGCTGCATGCAGGCAGCCATTCCTGAATTCCGTACACTGATCACCGAGCTGGAGGCTGATTCCATGTGACTGTGATGGCCCAGCAAGGGCCTCATCCCGACCCTGGTCAGGCCCTGCCCATGCCGAGCACCGTGGAGAAGGCTTGCCTTGTTTAGAAGTTGCTGCACCCGCCGGTGGTTGCCACCCTGGGACCTTGGGGATTTGATCACACCGTTTACTGGCAGGTTTTGCCAAAATTGACCACGTGGTCCGGTCCTTGCGAGAGATGACCAACGGTCTTTGGAATTTAAGCCAGCCAGTCTCAGTCATCGAGAGCACAACGTGACAAAGCAAATACATGTCCAGCGATTTCATGTGAGGTCTGCTGCGCTCTTCCAGAGCCTTCCAGAGTTCATTCAGAAGCAGCTGTTGTTGGCGAGGCGGCGCTAAACCAGCCTTGTCCCCTGCTAGCACCGACACGCAGACAGGCAGAGCAATGCCGCCCTCCAGCTGTCGCAACTTGAGACTGAGCGGCTCATGGCCTGGCTCGTCCCCGCCCCAAAATCTTGCGGCATCCAGTCGGCTTGAGATCGCTTGCCGCTGCCTCACTCAACCCACTCGTGGGGCTTGTAGGTAAAGAATCGACCGTCGATGATCGAAGGCAAAGCGGTGGGGTTGGCGTTGCCAGACCGCAGACAAAACAGCGTGAACTGACTGCGGCGGCGTGCAAACTGGATGCGAAGCGCCACCACCATGTGAATCTGTAGCGAGGCTGTCGCCACGAATAGCGACAAATGCTCCCAACGACCTGCTTGTCTCACACAGGCGACATCAGCAAGTCAGCAGAAGGACCTTTCAAAATTTGGCAAGTCTCTCTGGCATCACCATGTTCAGTGGGCGACAATAACGTCATAAAGGTTTATGTTTGCATTTCCAGCAGATTCGAGGGCCCACCCTCCTGTCCAGTTCTCTGATTGAAGCCGTTCGATGACAGTGACACTCTGCGCCAAGGTTGAGGACGAGTTGAAGAGTCGCAAGAAGCAGGCTCAGTCAATCTGGCCGAATCTGGCGACATGTGAAACGGCTTAGCCAGTCACATGGAACTTTGTCTGCAGATCAAGCAGCCTGTGCTGATTCGCAGGGCACATTCAAGGGCAGCTTCTCACCAGTGTGCCAGTTCCTCGGCTACCAGGCCAGTACCCGGCAGCCTGCAAGTGGAGTCGACTGTAAGCTGTCACTGTGTTTTTTTTGTGTTTCGTGTTGGACCACGGGATTCTACTGCACTTGCTTCGCTTCCATTGGAAGGCTCGCTGCTCTGTTCCTTCCGACTTCGACAGCGACTATGCATATGCGCTAGGTGGCTCTTCGCGCATGAACCAGGGGCTTATGCAGCGTTGATGGGAGAAATTCATGTTTTCGGGGCTGCACCAGGCATAAGCATTTCGGGTGTCACCGATCGGTACTTTTGTTGCTTCTCAGGCTTACAACAGCTCGAGTAGCACAGAGCGTGCTTCTGCAGGTGGCTGCGCAGCCATCCTGACTTCCAGGGGCCACAACGGCTACATGGTGGGGCCCTAGCTACATTGACATGTCTGCGCCTTCACATGCGAGTTCCTGCGTCAAGCTTTTGGGATCTTTTGGGGAGTACTTGCTGGCTGATGCGTGCACCCAAGCCTGCCGAAAAATCTGCAAATCTTCAGAACTCTCTTTCAGGCAGTGGTTTCTGACCTGGCGCAGCCAGTCGAGCGCCTGGGCCTCAGAGCAGGGTTTGTCTTGCCCGATCGCTCGTTGCGATTATGCGGGCTTTCGTGGTGTAGTCGACTACTGTAATGCAACGGTGATGCTTTGGTGCGGAGCCAATTGTAGCTAGACAGCACATGGGGCTGCTGGCGTGAAGGTTTGACTCTGACTCGGCTCAGCGTTCTGGTGTATCTTGATCGCCCTCTCTCTGCGGTGAACCCCGGAAAGTTGGAGCATGGACTAAGGATGATGAGTGCTGGGATTCCCTCTACTTTACCTGAAGGGCATGAGGATAATGATGTTCCAACTTTCTGGGCTTCTACCGTATACCCTTGTGTCCACCAGCAAACCGTTGCAGCAACTGTTGCTGCGCTTCGGGCAAAGCCTCGCGCTTCAAGCCTTCTCGGCTCCCCATCGATCGCGTATCGCATGTATCCCTGAACCCAAAGTCCCGCCCGGACCGACCATCACCTTGTACAGGCTGGCATGTGGGCGGCGTTCCTTTCACGGCAATGTTGCAGGAGCTGAAACTTGTTTGGCTGTGTTATGCTGTGTTCAGGGTTGCATTGCAGCATCCCGCCAAACATGCCGATGATCCTGGCGCATGACCTTCTTTCCAAGCCGGCCAAGCGCCAGGTGCCACCCACCACGCCGAAGGAGTCTTTCCGGCCCCGGCCGGGCATCTTCCCCCACAAGGCTGGCTCTGACACTTGGCAGTTGGGCATGGCTTGGGGGCAGGGTCTGCTGAGTCCAGCTGCACAGTGCAAGCAAGTGCCACTGTGGGAAGTTCCCGTTGTGGTCTAGATGGACTCGGGGGCAATTGAAGTTGAGTGGGAGTTTGCATCCTCGGTGAAACAGACGCATCGCCCCGCAGATCTTTCGAGGCCATAGGGCCTTAGGCCGAGTGAGGACAAGCATAGCAGCCTTCAGATGCTTCCACATTCACTGCGTTTAAACCTTACGGGAAGAGTTCCCGTTTAGGACACCTGTGTACGCTTCTTAGTACTGCAGAGCATGCTGGCACCCAGCTCCCCAGCAAAGAACACCATACATAATTATGACATGATTTATACTTGCTTTGCTGCACTAATCGCTCTTCGTTTGCGCGTTGATTCTCGCAGCATGTCGCTTCGACAGGTGGAGCTGGAGAGCGGGGCATTTAGAAAGTGGAAGGAGGTCGCCTGTCGCATCTTACAGTTTGCGACTTCGAATGAGCCTGTGCTACAAGTATCGGAATCCCCGTTCGGGATTTTGGGTGTAGTGCCTGCTAAGTGGCTATTTAAGGTCGTCGTTTCGAAGCGACAAGTGTTAATGGGACAAGTTGTGTGGGTTCGGTTTGGGCTGCGGGTATGGTCCACACAGCTGTACCAAAGGCTTTCGCAAGTCCAGTCATGGCTCGCAGCAAAGGCTCCGAGAAGAGAATGTGAGTCCTTTTCAGGTCCGAGCCTCCTGCGCAAGGGAAGTGGGGGCCTCAGGTTTGTCAATATTGCTGACGAGAGGTGGTGAATGTGCGACTGTCCCCAGTGTTCATGGGTTTTGTTGAACTTTCACGAGGAACTCTACGAGAATCCTGGTCCGATTCAGTTGTCTGGGCTGACGCCTCAACAGTGAGGGGTGCTTGAAAGAAGTACGTGACACAGAAGCCTTCTTCATAAAGTGAGAAAACAAAGATTGCGCTCCAAAGTTCGCTCAGGCCCAGCGCGAGCCGCGTCACCAAAACCATTGCTACTCGCTTTTCTTACTTGCAAGAGCTGAAGGCGTCAGCTCCTCAGATCGACTCGATCGACTTCTGTTTCAGAGCCAGCCTCTGTCGGGTCACTCGAGGTTGCAGAGGCACCTGGACATGCTGAGGGAACGCTGCCGTCCGGGATGTGACCTCCGGCAGGCGCCAAAGGAGGAACGTAGGAATAGGAAGCAGCCTGCATCCCGCACACTGCACACTCTTGGCTGACGGCACCAGGTGAAGGTGGCCACCCAATCGCTGGCGACCTTGAACTCTATCCTGGATGAGCTTGCCATAGCCTCAGCAGCCAAGCTGTGTGGCTCAGTGCATGTGTGATCTGCTCAGGCAGAGCCATCCTCAGCAAGCCCAATGCTTGAGCGGGCAATGAGATAAGTCTGCTTGACTGGCGATCGAAGTTGTGCCTGTGCGATGCGGAGCAAGCTCAGGACCAAGTTTTGAAAGCTAAACGTCAGCTTTGCTTCAATTCGTTTTAAACCGTGACGAGAGCTCTTTGGAGAGAGTCTCAGCATATTTTGCGAACAGCCATGGCTTTTGTTCCGACAGCAGGTGTGGGACGCAAACTGCGCCCGAAGTTTGAGATGTCAGTCTTGCTTAGTTCCGGAGACTCAGTCTCACATCTGTGAGTTTCAAGAAAGATGAGTCCAATTTTGGTGCTGCCCGTCACAATCTGGGCATGATTCAGAACAGCACAGGCAAGACCGGTGCCGTAGAAACCGTTCCCAGGATGCCTTCGCATGTTGTGTTTTCCCCACTCTTGAGATGTGCGGGCACCGATGCATTCTTGATTTCTGAAAAAAGAATTGGTGCTGTGGGCATGAGGGTATAGGGGCAGGGCAGTAGCAGAGGCTTCGGTGAAGTTTTTCTGCCGGGCTTAGCTTTATGAGGTTTCTTCAGAAGCCCATTCCTAGGGTCGTAGGCCAGGCCTTTTCTTCGGTGGCCATGCTTTCAGGCTTTCAGGTCTACAAGGTTCCGAATCGAGCATAGCGACGAAGACCCCAAAAGATCCATCAACGACTGCCAGAGCACGGCTCCCACACCTGCCTCGGGTTGGGCATTACGACAGGCGCATTGAAGAGTGAAGTTTGCCAGAGGACTTTGAGCGCGCCTGGCCGCCGCCCGAGGGCGCGGCGAAGCTCCGGGAGCGGCTGAGCAGCAAAAGCGAAGCCAGCGAAAGCCAAAGCCAGCAAAATGCCCCAAAAGCCTCTTCGAATCGAGAACGAAAGCCTTTCGTTTTGGTCTTTTCGCCGATCCGAGTTGGCCCAGGCAGCTCGTACAAATCGAGAGTCGGGTGCGCGAGGTTTTCAAGTCCTGAGCTCACTTTCCCGACCTTGTTCATTTCTGGATCTGGTGTCTGCAGCTTCGTAGAGTCTTAGAGTTCCTGAGTTCCAGTCCTCCCGGTCCCTCGACTCCGACTCGCAATTTGCAGAGGCCACTGCACCTGGCAAAGAAAAAGGATTCCAAGGAGGCACAGGCAGTTGTTGTGAAATCTGATAAGCTCGAGTTGCATCGAGTTGCTTGATAATGGCTTGAAACCCTGCTCACTTGACTTCAGGAAGGGGCCCCTGCCCGTCCGCCGCTGCCGCTCAGCTGCGAAGCTCTGCGAATGGCTCTCTCAGTCTGATGTCTACGCCGCTCTGAGGCCTCGCGGAGCTTCTGCTGCAGGGACCCGGCGGCGATCTCCGAGGCTCGCGGTGCAAGGGGCATCGGGCGCCAGGAGCTGCGATTAGAAAACCTTGCACCCAAGGCAAGCGGCATCGTCTCCAAGGCGCCTGCTTAGCACTGCTGATGGCATGCGGTTCGAAGTTTGTCTTGGGGTTGTCGCAGCACAAAAGCCCCCGTCCTCCAAAATATAAAGGCCCCCAAATAAAAAATCAGGGAGACGTACAACTGCGACTGGTTAAACCGATACCCCTAATTTAGGGGTGTGCGCCCCGTCATAGGGGTTGAGGCTTGGGCCCGCAAGCAATCAATGCCCTGACCCGTCTCGAAGCTCTCCTCTGCGTCTCTCAGAAGAAGCTCCTTTTATGTCATCGATGCAGTGAGCTGTCTTCGGCTCTGGCCGTTTACGAGGCTGCGCGCTACGAGCCTCTGGCTTCTTGTGGCCGCAGAAACGGCTTAAACTCGAGACATGCAGAGACTCCTGCATGCCTTGCTTGACTGCTTGCCGAACCAAAATCGCGAAGTTTACGACATGCTACACCAGAGGGCTACTACGAAGCGAAGCTTTGCAAATACAAAAGCCTGGAACATTGTCAGCGTGGGGTTATTTGGGTGAATCAGCAGGAGGCTGCGGCTGGCGCATCTTTAATTGGTCTAGGCTGCTCGTGCCGATTTGAGAGGCCACTGACTGGAGGCCTTCGCCTTTTGTTCCGGCTGCACATTGCCGTCGCTCTGACACTCCACAAGATCTCCGGAAAAGTCCGGAGTCTGGAGATATCGTACAGCAAGGCTCCGTGTCGCCACATTACCATTAAGGTCCGGGCCATCAGCGCGAAACATGGAAGATGCCGGGTCCACCGCGAGGGTTGACATTCCGGAAGACACATGGTACTGAAACTGCTTGTCTGAGATGATTGCAGGCAGAGGGTTGCCAACTTGGAAGACTGATGGTGGAAAACCAGACAACCTCGCGTATGTCATGAAAGAGCGTTGAAAGAGAAAGCATCCAATGCGGTCCTATCATGAGGGCTTTCAGAATGCTTTCGACAGAGTGATAAGATTAACAGATTCCCCGAAGATGATGTTGAGCGTCAGCGTAAGCTGAACACTCAACTTCAATCTGCCTGACCCAACGTGTGTAGGCACCGTTTTGCCTCCCACCACCCCTTGCAAAAGGCTGTCCAGCAGCAAGCGCAGCCGCTCTGCACCAGGACCACCCAGGCCCGGTGGTAACAATGAACAGACCTGAGTTCGGCAGGATTGCAATGCAGCATTTGGTCGAGTCAGGGGCCGATTGTGTCACTGACAGTCGAGACCGCTGACGTGTCCAACTGATCAACACTTGAAGGAGAAAGCCTTCCGCTTTGGTGTGACCACCCTCCCTCGACTTGCGAAGCAGCGACTGTTGTCAGGTGTGCTTTCGTGCTGCCGCCGATCAAAGCTAGTTCACCCCAGCGCCGCGAGCTTGAGCCAGCCTTTGTGCGCGCCGCGACAGTTAACCACACAAGTGAAGTTGCCTAGTGCCTACCGGTGTTCCGTCCGACCAAGACCTTTGGATGCAGAGCTGTCTCCTGTAATTCTACACTCGGTCGGCACGTGATTGAGGCGATGCAAAGCCGGCTGCCGTTCAGAGGCAAGTCTGAGAGGAGGTGTTGACTGTCTCAGTTACTTGTAGTCGTGGCTGCAACTGGCAGCAAGGCTTCAATAGAGTTGCGTGATTGATCAGTGCCGCCGAAACTGCTGAGTCGCCGTCGGGGAAGTCTGTGCTTGGCAAGTCACCCGATACCTGGGTTGTTGTGATTCCGGAACCACACTGTAATTGCCCGAAGAGTCTGGCAGGTCACTTTCCGCCAAGCCCGCTCGCGCGTGCCTGCCGATGAAGAGTGTGTCCCACTGTCGAGTTACGAGAATGGGGTCGACACAGAAAGGTCCGAAAGCACAGTGATTTTGTTTATCCTTTTTGCTTTCTGCCAGGCAACTCCTACTCTGAGCAGCTCACGGCTGCTCGGAGATTCAGAATTTTCGTTCCTATGTTCCAATATCCCCGAAATCACCACCAGCGTGGTACGGCTGTGACAAGCCAGAAGCAGAATACTGACCATTGAAAGTCAAGTAACTTGCTACAGCCAACGGGTACTGCAACACTGGGAAAACTGCTAGCAACGCAGGCCAGTTGCAAGCCCGAGTTAGTCCAACTTGTGCATGCGAGCGTGGTTATCGGACGCGCACTGCTGTTTCACTCTTCAGGTCTGCTGCGAAGCAGCTCTTTGCAGCGCACTGTTGTCTAGGGACGATACTGACATGTTTCATGGCCCTAATCACCCTAATCGCTTTGATTCGATTCGCCACTATGTCTTGGACAACATTTGCGGGCATGCAGGTAGATAATGAGCATGCAGGTTTGCCAAGCAGGCAAAAGGAGCTCTTCTGCAAAGACAAAAACGCTTCCGGTCATGCTCAGTTGTTCATAGCCAACCTCACAGCGGCTGTGGTCTGAATCGTGCGCCTGCGGATCAAGCTTTAACCGTAGATATCATGTCCAGAATAGCATGCTGGAAGCTGTGTTGCTCCCAATATCGCGCCCTGTTCTAGAAAGGTCATAGAATGTCAATGTGCTTTCGTGTTCCTGCTATCTTATGATAAATGGTTCTCAGCAAAGCACTGTCAACCGTGGTACCCAACCAGCCATGGCAGAGTTGCCCATACCATGCCCAACTAACTCCTGATCCTGTGGAATTGGCACCTCGCTGTTCACGCCATCAGCATGGGAAAATCTGACTCGGACTACTCCGATGAGGCCGGCTTGCTTCCTGCACAAAAGAGTCTCGTCAGTCTTAAGCTCGGCTCCCGAGGAAGGAGCATTTCTTCTAAGCGACTGGCATGCTCGCCGAAGGACAGTGACTCCGGCAGCTCCGTCAAGGAGGTAAAGAAAAAGAAGAAGGACACGAACTTTCCTTGGATTTGGAGACCCAGAAAGTGCCTCTGGCATACAGGATAAAAAGAAGAAGAAGGAAAAGAAGGCCTCCTCGCCAAATCCACACATTGAGGTTGAGGTTGATGTTGATAGGCTGAGGCGGCTGAGGCGACAACATGGCTGCCTGCACAACTGAACAGACATCCCTGGCAGCCGCCGCTCAGGAAAAGAAGAAGGCCGGCGAGAAGCAGTATCAGGTTGCTTCGCAGGTTGAGCTGTTCGATGAGTCAGGCGAAGAAAGAGAAGAAAGCAAAAAAAAACAAAAAGGCACTCTTGGAGCATCCTTTGCCAGGGCATCTATGAAGCACTCTTGCGCAATTCGGCAGGCAAAAAAAAGAAAGCGCAGCCCAAGCAGCTACAGCGACTACAGTCCACCGACTGATCTTTCGTGCTGGCGGTCAGTGGCTTGCGCATCACCGCCCCTGGCACAGGTTGCAGCAAGGACAGCCGAGATGACTCTCGCAGTCGCAGTCGCAGTCCCTGCCCGCGCCTGAGAATGCGCTGATCCTTCAAGCTGCACTGCTGCTCTTCCACCGTGCATAGGGAGCAGCCCCGCACGCATCCGTTTTTCCCCCGGCTTTGAGGCCGCAACCGAGGCCGATCGCCGCCCAGACGGTCCCCGCCTAGGCCACATGATGTTGTTCAGGGTGAGATCTTTATAGACTCCAGACATTCATGGTGTCTCTTCCTCGGGGCTCTTGTGCAGGTATAATGCCTCAGGAGGTGGCGGTGGGTACGGAAACTATGGTGGGGGCCGCGGAGGCTACGGCGGGCCCTGCTGGCTCGAGTTGATAAGCACGTGCTCACAGGATGCGATGTCACAACATTCCACAGCTCCATATCATTACATACTCGACAGGTCTGCCCGCAGCCGCAGCAGGACTGCCAGCTTCAGTGCATGCTCCAAATGTCTGAACGATGACGTCTTGAACGACATCGCCGACTTGTCAGGAGCCCTGCGTGGGCTGTGCCAGCAAGACACCCGGGGTCGCGGGAAGACCACTTGAAAGGGGGGGAAAAAAGGATTGAGAAGCTTCGTGTGTGTGGTCTCGGGCCCAGGCTCCCCGATCACCGATGAAGCTTCCAGAAGGCCCCCGCGGACGCACGCGCGAGCATGCGCGCGCGGATGCGCGCACGAAGGGCTTCGCCGCCGAAGTTGGGTCTTCCCGGAGGCCGGCCTCTCACCCTGGCAGAGGCCTGTGAGGCCAGGACGGCCGGGGTCAGATGGGTCGCACATCAGCGAAGGCTCCTCCGTTTGCAAGGCCGCCGGCCGTGGAGTGACGACCGGCAAGACGGCACAGGATGACGAAGTGCAAGTTCTGGATCCAGACGAGGCACAGCACCATGGCAGGCCTAGCCGCTGACAGAGTCCCATCCTTGCACAGGCACCCGTCAGAGCCGAGAAGCCACTGGCTAAGTTTCGCTGCCATGCACACGGTACACGGCAGTCCACCCTCTGAATGTCATGCTCACGGCAAGTTGAGGGTGCGGCGATGCGGCTCGCTAGGATCGCTACAGAATTCACAAAACTGAACCAGCGGGGAAGCTGTCGTTGCTCGCAACAGTTAAGCAGCAAGCCTAGTTGCTGCATGTATCTGCATGTGTAAAGGGCAAACTAACCACTCCGAACGTTTGGGCAGGACGGCGCATGTGCAACGAATTTTTACTTGAGGTTCACATCCTTCGACGATGCAGACGAGTTCCCACGGGAAATCCGAGAAGAACTCAAGCATCGTTGGCATGTTTCATCCTGAAAGGACCTGAGAGTGAGTAGGGCTTCCGAAGCTTCCCGGTGCTACGGCAGGAGTGCTGGCTTTCCGGCACCATCTCAGATCCAGGCAAGGTTGATTGTTTGCTAAGCTTACTGTAGAGATCCGTCGAGAAACAGCTGAACAGACCTCAGCACGCAAGGTTCTTTAAACTGGCCGATAATGATAGAAGACTACATCTCAGAGTTTCCTTTCTTGTTTATGGGGCTTGCTGTGAGGCTTACACCTGGCCGCTGGGTTTGCGAGGCAAGGACATCATCGGCCAGTGGCCCAGAAGTTCGTGACATGCCTGTTGGCTGCAGAATAGCTCTTCGCGTCCCGAGGCATCGCAGCGACCGGCAGTGGAAAAACGTTGGCCGTGCGCTCGGCATGGGCAATTGCCACTTGCTTTCAGGATTAGCGAGCGCATCCCCAGGCAGTGGAGCCTCAGAGAGCAAACCGCGCCCAGGCATTTCTCCTCCCAGCTTTCGCCCAGATGGTTGAGGAGGCTGTTTCGCAGACGTGGACCACATAAAAATGCGTTCTTTCTGCACACGTCGTGAACCGGCAAAACACGCAAAACTTGTGCATCCTCGGTCACTTCTTCGAGTGCTGAGCTGACGTACTGCTGCATGGACTTCGCTGCCAGAATCACCGTCCCGAGCGAGACGGTGCCGGAGCGCTAGTGATGTCTCCCACGTCCGGTCCTAGAAATTTTCGTGGTGACACGGAGACCGAGCCTCCAAAGCCTGGCACAATGCCTTGCAGCCAAGGCGGGAGCTCGCGCAGCAGACCGAAGCTGAGGCCCAGGGCCGAGCCTCTCTGATTATCTGAGCTCTTCCCTCAAAAGGATTGGGTCGGGAGGGGGCCTGCTGGCAATGGGTACGGCGGGGATTGAAATCGCGCTTGAACAGCAACGGAGTTGCTTTCATCCACCCAGAGTGAAAAATGAGTCACGCCCGAGGCTTCCATAAGGGCTGAGAGTTCGATAAGATGAGAAACCAGCCCGTTGGAGCGGAGCATAAGCCGCACACTGTTGCATCCGTTTGCCTTATTTTGCCTTGCAGGATTCAGGAAATTCATTATTCGTGCTCCAACTTATTAGTTATCACCTGGGACCCGCTCTTGAATGTCGCTCCGGGACCGATACGTGTAACCATGTAACCTACCCGGAGTTGTCACAATGAGTCACAATGTGCAGCCTTGGCATGACAGGCTCAGCGCTTTGGGAAATGCCTTGGCTTCCGATGCGTCGCTATGCCACCCACCTGCCTCAGTCTACTGTAGGAGAAATACGTGCAAAGATGCGCAAAGTAGGAGAAGGTTCAAAGCATGGTTAAAGCGACTTAGCAGGACATGTGCAACGAGCTGTGCCTTGACTCTGTACGCTTGCATGAAGATCTCCACCTGCAGACATCCATCTGCATATCGATGCATGCCATGGCTGCCATAGGTACGGCGGTGCTCCAAAGGGCGACCAGATGGCCAGGTACCGCCAGGGGTGTCAGCCCGCGCCTTAGCACAGCAAGCCGCTGAATGCAGTATTGCACCACACGTCGGCCCGTTTTTGCATGCGTCTCAGAAGAAGACCACGTGTCCATCCATAACTCCATAACACAGAAGTGACACAGAGCAGTCGTCGAAGCTCCAGTGGGTGTGGAAACTTAAATGAGAGGGTTGCCCACCAATACTGACAGAAAGATGCAGCTCGTCGAGCAACAGAATCGAATGGATGAAATGGGCTGCATATGGCGTTATCATTATCCGAACGACCATCCCTGTCCTGCTTGCCGCCATCCACTCCGTATTCCGTCCCATGAATCTGCAAGGCTGGAATTCAGCGATTTCTGAAAAGGACACAAAACCAAGCGCTCCATTCTGACTCTGACGACATTTGACAGGGCTTATGCTCTCACACTCTCACAGTCACATCGAAGCACAACCGTTGTCCTGCATTCCTTGCAGTACCATCGTCGCCTGCCCGGGACGTCTCAATGATTTCTTGGAGGGCGGGCAGGTGTGGGCCTCAGAGCGGAGGTGGCTTCCCTGTTCGGGGTCAGATCTGGCCTGGCACAGGTTCGCCTGGACGGAGTGTTGAAGCTCGTTCTGGACGAGGCCCTGCAGAAGGGCTGAAGCTTGCAGCAGAGTGCTCCCCTGCTCACATTGGTGATTCAGACGGGAAGAGGAACCGAACTGCAACAGACACGAGCCTGAAGTACTGCGTGCTTTGCCACTCCAGCGTCGCCTTAACTCTTACGAAGTGGCTTCGCCATTCAGTGGATTAGGGCGCCGGGCAACAAGTGCCTGGAGCCCGACCAGGGCTTGCAGGAAGCGCGGTCCGCATTGACTTCGGTCAGCGTGACGGGATGGCTAATGCAAGAGAGCGAGGTGTGTAAGTTGGCTTGTGCCGAAGGTCTTCCCGGGTTGCTCGTTCGGCATGTCAAATGCGGCATACAGTATCCTCAGTTCCTGGTGAGTGCGCAGCTGCAGGCCGATCGAATGCTGGATATGGGCTTCGAACCACAGATTCGCAAGATCCTGGCCAAAGTGCGACGCTCATGCAGTGCAGCACGTGGCCTTGATGAGACTACAGAGTAACTCTGGTCAAAGAGGAAGCCCGGAGTCACGACAACACTGCACATGTCCCTGGCAGCTGCCGCGGAAGCGGCACACTCTCTTCTTTACGGCAACCTGGCCGAAGGAAGCACGGGTCTCAGGGAGTCCAACTCGAGAGGGACGGGAGAGCTGGTGGCTGCGCTGCAGGTGAGGAAGTTGGCAAGCGAGATCCTAAACAGGCATCCAGAATCCAATTGGGCATTAAAGAATTATTATTGGTTGACTTGCATCGGTCGACGTCAGGCCCTACAAGGTCATGATAGGCAACCGGGAAGTGCTGAAGGGCAACCAGGCAGGGGCCAAGTTCGACAAAGGCATCGGCAGCGTGTTTGAAAGGTTGCTTGATGCAGGACATCACGCAGATTGTGAAGTGCATGGATGCCTTCAACAAAAACCGGGAGATTGTCAACACACTCAGGGAGGTAGCACATGTTAGATGCTTTGCTGGCTGCTGGCACCTGAAGAGAAGTGTCAGAGTTGTCTCCGGCACGGGCAACGTTTTCCTTCGGTTGTCAAAATGACTAGAGAAGCTCCAGCTGGACAGGCAGGCTTGACGAACGCCAGCGCTAGCGGGAAGGCCAACAGCGGATCCTGAATGCCTGCATGAATAACTTGTGTTAAGCTGGGATTCTGGAACGTCGGCAGGCACTGGTTTTCTGCAACACCAAGCGGATGTGCGAAAATCTCAGCAATGACCTTCATCGCCAAGGCAGCGGATTGAGCCCTGTCGGACAGCCTTTCACGCACATGTCCGCCCTGAAGTATGATAAGCATCGAAGTATTGCATTCGGTCAGCATTTACAGTCTGGTGCTGCTGACGGCTAAATTTTAGCTCTGCATGACCTTGGAGAGGCCTGCCTTGCACTTCCATTCATGGAGACAAGGCCGAGAAATGAGCTCGCACGGCGACACGCACATGCGAGGGCAGCAGACCTTCTGAGTGTTTTCCAAGGCTTGTCATGTGGGCTCGAGCACAGGATCAGCGCCAGCGAGAAGATGCTTTGCACGGCTTGAAGTCGGGCCGTTACAAGGCTCCCAGCACATTCCATGCGTGGAGAGTAGGGGTTTCGGATAGGACCTTGATGGTGCAGTCTATGGGCGAGGTCTTGGTGGCAACAGATGTTGCTGCTCGAGGGCTGGACATCAAGGGTGTTGCCTGGCGCTCGAGTTTGAGTCAGGTGGCTTGTGTTGAACAAGCTTTGTCGCAACATTGTCCCAGGGGCTCGTCATCAACTTTGACCCAGCGAACAACACCGAGGAGCCTCTATTCACAGTGCTGCAACTGGATTGCAGTGTTCATGTCTGCTCCTAACGTCTTGTGTGAACGATCGGAAAGTGCAGTGGTTCAATCTCTGTTTGCAATCTGGCCAGGATTATGTTCACCGCATCGGACGAACTGGTCGTGCTGGAGCGCGGAAAGCCTAGTGGCCTAGGTGGCCTCGTGCAGAATCAAGGGGCTGTTGCCGGCAATTCTGCGCATTCTTAGGAAAGGCTATGCCATCACCTTCATGACCGGCCAGTGCCTTACAATCCCAACGCCACACCTGCAGAAGCTGGGTGGATGACAGTAGCTGTCAAGTCGTCAGCAAGAAGCCCCTGCCATGATCGCTGCAAAGTGGCGCTGTGCCTCAGAGACACGAGGTCAGGATGCCTCGAAAGCCCGTGGAATCATGGAAGTCATGGAGCGAACCAATCAGGAGGGGCGGCACGAAGCGTCTGCGAGCTTGGGATAAGTTGGGCAGAGCTCAGGGGCCCACCGGCTAAAACGTGTAGCAGTAGCCAAAGTTTTGCACCCAAAAGAAGACTGCGATAGAAGCGAGAGAGAGAGAGAGAGAGGTTAGTGAACACTGTGTGGCTGTCGCACAGCGGCCCCTAAGCCCAGCAGAAAGAAAGACAGGATAGTTTCAGATGTGTGGTGTCTACACCCTTTACTCACTGGCTATGTGAGAACATGCAAAAGCCTTACACACCTTCACGCAACATCCGCCAGACACACGGACAAAGTGGCGTGTCGGAGCATCCCCCTCAGCTGAGACAAATAAGAAAGACATCAAGGAAGAGAAAGAGACCTGCCCCTGTGGTCTTAAAGAGGCCTCGAAACAATTCGTCAGTGACCTCAAAAGTTTATGATAGAAAGAAGGTGCCGTGCTCGTTTTGGAGATTTGCATTTGCTTCCATGCTTCAACCACGGATCAATGACAGCCACTCGCCCCTAAAAAGCGCGGACTTGCAACTCACGAAAATGAGCTTTTGCAAGCTGCTTCGCCAGGAGATTACCCAAGACTTGCTGAAGATGGCAGGCAGCGTACTACCGGGCAGTACAAACAAAGGTTGGACTTTCGGAGGATGTTGTGAGGTTCTGGTGCATCTTTCTGGTTGGAGGACCACAAGTTTGTTCATCCCAAGCATGCAGATGCTGTGAACCAGGGACCACAGCTTGGGGCGATATGCTCTCATGCCAACACCGGCCTTCACAGTTTGGGCCCTTGGCCACAAAGGCATTTAACGGCCAGGAGTCTCTGAAATCTCTCTGAGAGTCTGTTTTTCAAAGAGCCTCTTTCGGTTTAGAAGGGAGAGGAGTTCGTTGAGCTGACGACACTCCAAGAAACAGAGCGGGTTGCTTAACCACTCCACGTATGTCTTCACTGCAGGATCGGCCCCGCCGCCAGGAGGCCAGAAAGTTCTTGTTACTGGGGCCCAGACCCTGCGGCTGTCCTCGCCTGAAGGACATCGCATGCGTGGCAACCGAGGAGTTGCATCCTTATGTGGACTTCAGGGCTGAGTCACTGAATCAAAGGGTTCTGGAAAGAGGTGGGTTTTGGAGATGCAAGAAAAGAGATCGATCTATCGAAGCTCGTTTTCGCAGATTGCAGGAGGTGGCGGTCGAGGAGGAAGGCGAAGCCCAAGCTTCTGAGTGGTCGCGGCTGATCGCTGGAATCCACACAAAAAGTCATGCTGCTGAGGGTGCCTTGCAGCATTCGTTTCACTTTGGCTTGCCACCCTGGGAGCCACCGCCCTTGATAGCTTACCCATTGTCGGCCGAAAGCAGGACTTGATTGTTGTGGCTCCTTCTTCTGCCAGTATCTGTATCTGCAGCAACAGCAGAGCAGTCGCCAGTTCCCTCATGCACAGAGCCTGCGGATCGTATTGTCGCAATGGCCGCCTCGACGTCTCAACCCGATTTCGTATTGCTGGGGGCAACTGGGTTTCTGGGCGCCAGCATCCTGCGAAAGCTTGAAAGTAAACATGTCGTCTGCACAAGCCGATTGAGGCTAAAGGACCGGCTGGGACTCGAGGCCCTCCTGGATGAGCAGAAGCCCAAGCTCGGCGTCATTTGTGCCGCAGGGGAGCGGGGGCGCCCCAACATTGCTTGGTGCGATGCCCATCCTGTCGAGACTTTGGATGCAAACATCACTGGGCAATTATCCGTGGCAGCTGCATGTCACGAGCGCGGTTTGCACCTTATTCTTTTGGGAACGGGAGCCCTCTACCTGGCCAGCGAAAAGAAGCGGAAGTTCTCGGAGGTAGATCCTCCCAATGGTGGCTCACCGGGGGTGTACACAGCACTCAGGCAGAAGATGGAGGAGCTGACAGCCTACTTCAACAACGTCTTGGTGCTGAGGGTGCTCTATCCCCTGAGTTCAGACTTGGATCCACGTGGCCTGCTTGGCAAGCTGGCACTTCAGATGCATTGTCCATCCTATTTGGCTGTGAGTCACACTGTCGAGCGCTGTGCTGACACATGAACATAGACAAAAGCAAGCAAGCAAAAACATACGCGCACATACACGCGTGTATGCAATTGTACATATGGAAGGTTGCCTAAAAGAGCGGTTAAGAAATTTATATAAGGTGGCCATAATCATCTTTGGAGCATGTTTTGTACTCTTTGGTATGAGGCGGG